GAGAGTCAATTTCTCTAAATATAATTGATTGCCAGCCTCCCTTGTCCCTGGCTGGCTTGCTAGCTCGTTGGTAACGTAACTGATGTCTTCTAATGTGCCTGCATCTGGCGCTGAGTTGCCATATTCCTTTCATGAAGCACTTCCTGATATCCATTGTTGCAGATAAATATAAATGATAATAGCCAAACTAACCTAGCAAGAGTAAACTGACAGGCTTCTGTGCCGCATCTCACTCAAAAACCCACACGACTCAAGCGCGCAGCCTTTCATTCAGAATTTCCTTCAGAATTTCATTCAGAATTTTATAGCAAAATAAAAAAAATGCTATTAAACTAATCTTTCAACATAGTTTAAAACAAAAATAAATATTAGGACAAAGCCCTACAAATAACAACAATAGACATAATCAGTGGCGGCTCCAGAGTATTTTTGTTGGGTAATCTATGGTAGGGCTAACCCATACAGTGGTGGGGCTCAAGTCAGTATTTGCAATGTAATTACATACACGCTCCCCTTGACAGTGAAACGCCACGCGTGAGGTTTAGATTATTTCCCTGTCTCAATCCAAATTGAACTGTATGAAGTAAAAAGGCAAGTTTGTCTTGTAGTAAATAAAAAGGGTGACCTGGAGCCAATCCTGCAATTTCTCCACAGGTGAAAGAGTTGACATGCTGAAAACCCAACCCCTGCAGGGGGGTCTGGGGAGATTCTCCCCCAGGAGATTTTTTGAAATACTAACATAAAGTACACATTCTGCCTTTGGTACTCTCTTGAGAAGAAAAATAAATACATCTATTATTACACGACATATTTAAAAAAAATGAATGCCATTTTAGTTTTGTGTTACTCTGTTCTGAAAGCTCAACCTGCTGCTCCTCACAGAGAGAAGTGGGCTGTGTGAATTACTTTACATTGTGGATAAGGGCATTGTTCTGTGTGTCAAAATGAAAGACAGCCCACACACCTATCAATCATCAAACCGTGGGGTCTTATTTCATTATGTGTTGATTTCTATCAACACGTAGTGTTGTATCGATGTAGAGATTTACTACAGCAAAAGTATTCTCTCCGGACTTCCTGCAACAACACCACGTCGTTATCTTGATTCTGATTGGCCAGAAGACATTATCAAAGATGTTCTATTGAGAAGACGATCACTACGTGACAAAGGTTTTCAAACCGTTTCTAGTCTTCGGTATTTCCAGACAAGTGGCTACTGAAATCAATCTTACTAACTGCTGTCTGTGCAATTTACTTAGTTGGCGGACTTTAGTTTGCTTACTTTAAAATCATTTTTCATGGTGGGGCTAAGCCATTTTTGTTGGTACAGTATGGCTGTAGCCGACCCCAGTATACCCTGGCGCCGCCACTGAACATAATAATAAAACAATTAAAATGTTGTATTCAGCCCTGATTAAAGTGGGCCCAAATCCTGGATGGGCGGGCCCAAATCCTGGATGGGCGGGCCCAAAATCCTGGATGGGCGGGCCCAAATCCTGGATGGGCGGGCCCGGCCCCATGGGGCCCGCCCATGACGCCGGGTCTGCCTATTCTGCTGATTTTCAGGTTCATATTTGTATTTTCATCCTCTATTGCAGGGGTGGGGGTGGGTTGTGCCAGAGAGCCACAGAACGCCGCTCCGGGCCGGGACTTCACAAATTGCAGTACCTATAAGGAGCTGTACACATGCCGCAGTTTTGGCGTGGCTGTGTCTTTAGTTGTAAGCCCAGTGGCGATCTGTTCATCTGTCATACTGATCATACAGTCAATAACTTTGTTGTTATTAGCATCTGGTTAGCTAGCTATGCTAACGAATATATTAAGCTTTTTCTACAACCAGTGAGGTAAAGGCACATATTTATATGATCATTATAATTATAAAAAAATAAGAGACTAAAGGAAGAACTGTTATAAAATAATATATGACAGTAAAAAAAAGTTGTTATTAATAAACAAGAATACAGTTTAAAAGGGGAGTGATTTGTAAAATATCCATAAAGAAAAAGAGATCTGCTTAGAGTTCTGGTTCATATGGGTGTTGAGAGATGTATCCATAGATCTCCTAATGTTGCTCTCAAAGTGCACCAGATTTATTCTTTTAACTTCAACATTTAAAAAAAAATTCCCGGGGGAGCATGCCCCCGGACCCCCCAAGAGGAGGTTAGGTTCCCTCCACACTTAAATCATGTTCACATTGATATGAAACTAAATACATTCGCACAGATCTTGCGTCCATATATTTCTGTTTTGGTGGTCATGCCACACCATGCACTTGCATGCATGCACGAGTCATGATAAGATATCTGGTTTAAGAGGTTGCTTTTTCTTTGCACAGCATGAAAGAAAGGCAAAATGAATGGAGGATGTTGTAAAAATTGAAATGGCCCTTGAGAGGAAAAAGGTTCCCCACTCCTGCTCTACTGTGACACATCTCCATGCTTCAATGTTTAAAAAGCTCTTTATTTTTCTCATACTGCCTGTGCTGCAGCACCTCTTTTCACCCTCTGTCTGAAACCAGAGCCCAGTCTGCTCTGATTGGTTAGCTGCCGGCTGTTTTGATTGGTCAACTGCCTACAGATGTCCCGCCTATCAAGTACACTGTGTTTGAGAGCTAGCCAATCGAAGCACAAGTGTTACATAATGATGTCACTATGTTACGGAAGTAAACAAAGGGCTCCAATGGAGACTTTTCAGGCAGGGGGGGAGTGTGTCGGAAAGAAACTCAATCTAGAAGGAACTTTGGGATTTTAGTCTTTGCAGACCATTTACATGCACAACAACCTATATTACACACTACAGGAGGTTCAAGGTTATTACAGATGTATTGGCCAATAACTGCCTACCCTAGCTTTTATGTGTTTCCATTTGAGGGATTCTTTTATGTGAAATGAAAAGGGTAAGGTCAAAGGGAATACCTGTCATCACAGATGGGGTTGACATGGTGCTCTCCTTCTTGATTGGAGGGACGGTCGACACAATGGGTATCAGAGTAGGGAGTATGGTATCCTCTGAGGGGGGAAATTAAGGGGTATTATTCTTGTAATCTTCTTTTGAAAACAATTATTTCTATTTATGTTTGTGTGTCTGAGTTGTGCATTTGTTACCTGACTGAAAGGAGATTTCGCTGAACATCATCCAGAAATCGGCAAAGTAAAAGCGGCAGCGGAGGAATTTGGCTGCGCGGCGGTTCAGTGGCACGGTGACGTAGCGGGCGCTTGGGTTCCTATCATCCAGCACAGTCTTGAACGACACAGGCTCCGCCTCCCAGTCTGCAACGAGGCGGGGCTTAAACCAGCAGGAAACGGAGGAGAAGATCTTCACACCGCGGCGGAACATGTTGTTACTGTGAACCTGGAACAGGGTGAAAATACATTCATTAGAAAGTGTGACAGAAAGATTTCCAAGACAGAACTTTACTTATATGGTGGAAGCTGTTTATGAATATGTATACAAATAATGTATCTACTATTAATACATACATACATTGTAATATGTTTTTTATATCTTTTGAAATTAGAGTCAAATAGAAGTAAAATTAAATGTGAATAAAGTAATCCAGCTCACCCTTCTCTCAAAATGTATACCCCCATACAACTGGAACTGCAATGTTAATTTTGTGTTTTGACCCAGATTATGTTTTTTGACATATCACATATATACGATTCAAATCGATATCAAAGGTAATTTTCTTTAAATATACGTATCTCCAATTACATAACAAACTTAGTTATTTTTAAGCCAAACCAAGATATTTCGTTAACTTCAACCAATCTTTTGCCTGAAGTAATTTTGTGGCATTTTTTACTTTTCACGGGGGTCCCTTGTGCACATTATTCAATTACAATCACCGCAATCAGAAAAAACTTGTGTGCATATTTTAGAGTTTTTTAGTTAAAGAATGTATGACAGAATTATTATTATTGTTATTATGGTATACTGAGTCATAAAGTCTCTGACAGGGTTGACCAACAATCTTTGAGGAGATTTTAAAGCAGTTGACAAACACTTGTACCAGGTAGTATTGCAGTATTGTAGAACAGACAAAATCACAGATGTAAAGAACAACAGAAGAATTTGTCTACTCGCCCCAAAAGACCTAAGGCGGTGGAGAAAAATGTATTATTTGTTTTGTGCATTAGGTAAAGTAAGAACTGACAACCTTCATGGAGGTGAAGTTCCTCTTCCTGTCGAACACAAACTCCATCTCCACGAACCCCTGACTTCCCAGAGAGTCGTTCCTCCAGCCCAGGTAGTCGTAGCCCGGCCACACGTGGTACTGCCGGGTCAGCAGGAAGTCGTCCAGGCCGATCACACCGTCCGTCAGCTGGCCCAGCCCGCCTAGCAGCCTCCTATTGGATGAAACAGCTATCAGTGACAGAGAGCGGAGGGCAGAGGAGACAGTTAAGTGATGTTCACGTGACTCACCTCCTCTCGTGCGCCCCGTCATACGTGGAGTCGTTGAGGCTGGCAATGGGATAACCAGGGGGCATCATGAGCTGACCCTCCGGAGCGCTGTAGGAGATCAGCCCGTCTGCAAGGGGAGGGGGGCATGACAAAATTGTTCAACTGCATTATTACAGCAAATGTTGAAACAAAAATCAATACATCTCAATCAATTTGCTGGAATCGTGTCAAAGTTTTGTATTGACCAGTTTATACTTTCATTATTTCCATTCATGTGGCCTGTTCATGTTCTAGGGGTCTGGTCACATATTGTTTAGTTGCCAGCTCATAGCGCTCTGTATTGAACCAGGAAATGTTGAATAGCCTAAAGTTTGATGTAAGAAATGTATAGTACAGGTCCCCAGCACATAGAAAAAGTTGGATGCTATCTTGCATACTGTATGTTGGGCAATTTTCACGATTAACATCATTTGGGTTGAATATCAATAATTACCATTATAGCCTAAGTATAGTTAAAAAATGGCTTGGCTGATTTGGACAATTTCGGAGTGGTTTTTGGGGTTATTGGAGGAGTCCGTTTCAGACATGGATAAAATATGGCATTTTAACCAGAAAGTGGCCATACTGTATTTGTTCGCTCTGTGGGTTTATTTTTGATTAATTATGGTTAGATTTTGAAGCTTTGGGGGATTCTGGATCATTTGGATTGAACAGATTGCCTATTTCTTTGAAAAAATATTGTCCGCAGTAGAAGCAATAATTTATTCTATATCCGATATATATCCAATGGTCGCAACACTACTCACCGTAGTCAACATCGATATCGACATTGGTAAGGGAAATGTTGTGTTCAAAAAGTGTTTGTGTTCGCGGGTACATTTTTAGCCATGATTTATCTCAGTCCAAAACACACAAAAAAAATGACTGATCCAGTATATATCATAACTAACTTACACTGAACAAAAATATAAATGCAACACTTCTGTTTTTGCTCCCATTTTTCATGAGATGAACTCAAAGATCTAAAACATTTTCTACTGTATGTACACAAAATAACCATTTCTCTCAAATATTGTTCACAAATCTGAAAAAATCTGTGAGAGTGAGCACTTCTCCTTTGCCGAGATAATCCATCCCACCTCACAGGTGTGGCATATCAAGATGCTGATGAGACAGCATGATTATTGCACAGGTGTGCCTTAGGCTGGCCACAATAAAAGGCCACTCTGAAACGTGCAGTTTTGCTTTATTGGGGGGGTCTGGGGGGGTCCGAAAACCAGTCAGGTTTAACCCTAACCCTAAAACNAAATGCAACACTTTTGTTTTTGAAACGTGCAGTTTTGCTTTATTGGGGGGGTCTGGGGGGGTCCGAAAACCAGTCAGGTTTAACCCTAACCCTAAAACATTTTTTAATGTTCCGACCTGCTATCCTCTACTCTCCCCCTGGACTCGAACCTCAGCTCACCCGATGATCAACTCAACCACCTTAATTCAACCCTACTCGCCTCCCTCAATAGCTTGGCCCCCCTCAAAAGGAGGGCTTGCCAGCTTGAACGCCTAACCATGAAATCATCCCTCACAGTTCACCATGATTCCTACGAACTCCATCTCACTACCTACAGAGACGCCCTCACTGCCGCAAAATCTGCTTACCTCTCCACCATCTTCATCGACTCCTCCCGTAACCCCAGGACCCTCTTCTCCACCGTCAACAAGCTCCTCAAACCCCGTGCTGACACCCTCTCTTCCTCCACTTCCACATGCAGTTCATTCCTCCAGTTTTTCTCTGACAAAATTACTGTCATTAATCACTCCATAGGGAGTGATTAATGACAGTAATTTTGTCAGAGAAAAACTGGAGGAATGAACTGCATGTGGAAGTGGAGGAAGAGAGGGTGTCAGCACGGGGTTTGAGGAGCNGGACGAATGGGCTGACGGCCTTATAGCCATAGCTTCCATGACGTGAGTCCACCGAGGTCAGGATGGAGAGCTGTCTAGGGTGAAGTAGAGGGAGTTGTTAGTGGAGGAGATGGTCGTCGAAGTCAGTGGTATGTCCACAAGGGGTTCCAAGTCATGAGGCCCGGTGAGGAGAAGTAGTAGATGTAGGAGGGAACCAGTCTAAGAGGCGGTAGTAGTTTGGACCTGAAAAGTCGACGATACGACTGCTGTGTGTCTAGATGGAGTCGGTGGTTTAGGGGCAGGTGTTGGGGAGAGTGTGTGTAGCTTAGGACAGACTGACCGTTATTTTGGACCTGCGTTGTGTTGAAGGAGGTTTGAGTTGTCGTCGTTGTTTGACTTGAGGAGGAGTACGTACGCGGTTTAGGTGGAGTCGTTTGTTGCGGTTGGACTGTCGAGTGGAGTAGCTGAGTTGCCGCGGGGCGGCGGGAGCAGGGGAAAAAGGAGGTGTGGTCCTGAGGTTTGGCAACCGCACGCTATAAGCCTCGGGGTGGGAGGTCGGGTGTGGTGTGTGAGGATGGTGGTCGGTGAGGCGCTTAGGGCGGCGGTGTAGGCCGGTACAACATTTTTGGTCAGTAAAACAGCAGTGGAGGAGGCCGTTATAGCCCGGTTGATGGGCATGGGATGAAGGAGGTGTAGCGTGGGCGTCGACTCGCTGAGTTAAGTGCGGAAGTAGGAGAGGGCGGACTGATAACCGTTGAGTGAGAGAAGCTAGTCCCGTGTTGTAGGGAGTGTCTGGAGGTGCGGCACAGGTCTTCTCGCGTCCCGAGCTCGGCGACGCGTCTGAGGAGTGGGCGGTAGGTTTAGTAGGCCCGTAGTGTAGTGGGTCGGCGGGGTTTTTCTTTCCATGGAGTTTCTTGAGGTCCGACCGAGAGGTAGAGCTGTCGCGAGCCGTAGAGGTGGTGGACCACGAGGCGCTGGATGGACTTTTGTGCTGCGGGGGAGGTGGTAGGCGACGGGGTGCGGCGGGCGGGCCGGCCTGTCCAGGAGGTGACTGGAGGGCTGAGGAGGAGCGCCGGCATAGGCGGGGTCCGGCTGCGGTGGTGGCCGCCAGGCAGGTCTGAAGGTGGGAGTCGGCCAAACGAGTTCGGGGTTCCGGTCGTTTGAGGCCTTTCCGGAAGGCCCTTTGTCTCCGGAAGAGGACACCGTCGGGGGCGTCGAGGACCTTTGGGGACCGCGTCGGACGTTTTTACTGGAGCCGAGGCATCTCAGGGACTAAGGCAAGTGGACCAAGGTTCCAGGCACGGAGGTTTTGCCGTGGAGAAGTTAGAGACGAATAGGAATTTGCGCGGCCTGCGGAGGGGGAGACTTGGTTGTAGGAAGGGTCTGGACGGAAAAGACAAAAACAAAAGAAAACACCACCACAAAAACAAGACAAAACAAACAGCGCCCAGATGTTGCTACTATGTTTACAAACACAGTCATTAAACACACCGTCACCACAAACACTTTTATGCCCCTGTCTCCGACGACAGTCCTGTTTGTCGAAACGCCCAGTAGGTTTGCCTGCAGCGAAGGGCACGCGAGGCCTCTCCTGCAGGTAACGAGAACTTTTAGTAAAAGTACGAAGAGCACACAAAGGCAACGCAGGGAGGTTACCAAGGGACCTGCCCCTCCCTGATTGTGTCCCTTTGCTCGCACTCCTTCGTCCTAAGATTACAAGGCCTGGACTCTGCCCGACCAACATTTTATTTTTACCGCCCCCCGACCAGCCTTGCGTATGGTGAGCGGTTACGGTGCAGTGGGTTCAGCGCGCACCGGCCTACTTCACAGACCGCCCGGCCTACACCGGGCGCCGGTGGCATGCCACCCCAGGTCGACTAAATCTGATTACACAAACAACGAGACTAATTTACCTACAGACAATGATGTAGTTACATACCAGTAAAAGCCGTTTACAAAACAGAAAGAACCGGTTGTAGACAACTGTCAAGTTTCACAAGACACCGAGGACACCGGTTGTACAATGCAAAAACCGTCTTCAACTTGTGTTGTACTTAGTGAAAAAACATACCACAAGACAAGAAGTTCTACGGTTCTATTATGACTAAGTTGTTGCCGTGGCAACGCACAATCTATGCATTGACCGTCTACGTCAGCTGGATCAATAGTCGTACTTCACCTGTTAAAAAAGTAACAGGACAAATACATTCACGGTATCGAAGGCTGCACTCAGGTCAAGGAGGATGAGGATGTTGAGGGAACCGGTGTCAGCAGAGGTGAGGAGGGAATTGAGGACTTTGATGAGTGCCGTTTCTGTGCTGTGGTGAGGACGAAAACCAGACTGAAGGGGTTCAAAAAGGTCATTTTTTTGGAGATGGCGGTGGAGTTGTTTGGAGATGATGCGTTCTATTGTTTTAGAGAGAAAGGGGAGGTTGGAGATGGGGCGGTAATTACTGAGGGAGGAGGGATCCAGACCGGGTTTCTTGAGGATGGGAGTGACAGCAGCAGTTTTGAAGGCAGAGGGAACGGTTCCTTGGGACAGGGAGGAGTTGAAAAGGTTGACAATGTAGGGGCAGAGGACGGGGAGGCAGGACTTCAGAAGAGGGGTGGGTAGAGGGTCAAGCGAGCAGGTTGTGGGTTTGGAGGAGCTGATCAGTTGGAGTATTTCAGGGGGGGTAACCAGAGTGAACTGGGAGAGAATGCCGTGGGGAGGAGGGCTCGGGAGGTCAAGGGAGATGGAGGGAGGAATTGTGGCGGTGGATGTTGGGGGAGATGTTTGTGTGTCAGATGCAGCGGATAGGGAGTGATTAATGACAGTAATTTTGTCAGAGAAAAACTGGAGGAATGAACTGCATGTGGAAGTGGAGGAAGAGAGGGTGTCAGCACGGGTTTTGAGGAGCTTGTTGACGGTGGAGAAGAGGGTCCTGGGGTTACGGGAGGGGTCGATGAAGATGGTGGAGAGGTAAGCAGATTTTGCGGCAGTGAGGGCGTCTCTGTAGGTAGTGAGATGGAGTTTGTAGGAATCATGGTGAACTGTGAGGGATGATTTCATGGTTAGGCGTTCAAGCCGGTTTGCTTCAGTTTACGGAGTGCAGGGGTGAACCAGGGTGAGGAGGTTTTAAAAGTGACATTTTTCCTTTTGAGGGGGGCCAAGCTATTGAGGGAGGCGAGTAGGGTTGAATTAAGGTGGTTGAGTTGATCATCGGGTGAGCTGAGGTTCGAGTCCAGGGGGAGAGTAGAGGATAGCAGGTTGGAGAGGTGCTGGGGATCCGCCCGAGCAACGACACCTCGGCGGGGCGTTCTCCGTCTGAGCCGCAGTATTGCGGTCCGTAATTTCGAAGCGGAAGAAAAGTTCCGTCCCTTCGCAAAGCGTCAATCCGGCAGATTGACAGCGGCGCGACGACGTGAGAGACAACCTGAGACCGATGACGTGGAATGAGTGCTCTGCAGACCGCGGACAGAGTCCAGCTGATAATAAAGGGTAAAGGAAGGTAAGGAGCGGCAGGAGCCAGAGTGGAGCCTTGCAACTCAAACGGACGCGGTAGAACTCAGTCAGCGGGCGTACCGGAGGGAATAAGACCGCGGCTCGGCGGGGGTCTGTGGGCGGGGTCCTGAGCTCCTCGCTCCGCTCCGGCGTATTACCTTCCTCGGCTATTTAGCTCCTTGGTGGTCAGGTAGGAGGCTACGTTAGGAGTCGTATGAGCGGCGCCGCGGGGGGAATGACACATAGCCAGTGACTGACAACCGTGCTCGTACGTCACGACGTGACGTAGGCGTACGAAGAACAGAACTGTATCTCTCGCAGCTCATGGTCGCCTCACTTCTTTGTATTTACCTTTAGGAAGCTCCTTCAGTAGAGGAGTCCAAATCTTGACACAAACAGAGAGAAGTACCATACGTAAATGCCAAGTGTTGTATACACTATATAAGACTTGTTGTTTCACCAGTTTTTATTAAAAATAAGGTGAAAGTAACCGCTT